TCCTGCATTTTTTCATCCTATGGTGAATTGGCATCTGCAAATGTGCTAAGCTTGGCGTCAGTATGGTTATCCAGGCGGAGCTAGGCATGGATGACCAGGTCCTCTAATGAGGGACGAACTTGTCCAGCATGCCCAGGGTGAGAACGTAGCAGAGACCCATGCTAAGGAGGACCCCACCCAGGAAAAGACGGCAGCCATGCATGAATGTACTTAGACCCAGCCACCGAGGAGCACGACAGGGTGCACTTCAAGCAGGTCTAGTCTTGGTGGACAAGGATGTACCCAGCGAGCAACGTGATAAGAATTTTAGTGTTTTTAAAATAAGTTTTATAAATGGTTAAATTCAGTGTGCCTTTTCTAAGTCTCAAAATTATCCTTAAATAACCTTACGGTTGCCAAGGCGTTTTGTCATGCGTTGATAGGCAAAGTTTATCCGATTACGCAGCTGGATGCCGCAGACAGAGCAGTGAACTGATCGTACCCAAAAAATCACTGTTTATAATAGAATTATCTGTTTTGAAAAAAAAAACTTTGCTAAGTACCGGTAAGAGTTTAATGTTAAATTATCAAAAAGTTTAATGTTAAATTATCAAAACCTAAACTTCATGTCAGTGACAAAATTGTCTTTAGTGATGCAGAAACATCAATACTGGTCACTGGTAAAGCTGAACAAAAAGTCGTGGAAAAATAAATCGAAAAGGTATGGACCAATTGTTAGGTGTTGTGTTTTATTCTGCTTGACCTTGGGAGTCCTGCATTTTTTCATCCTATGGTGAACCAGCATCGGCAAATGTGCTAATTAGCTTGGCATCGGTATGGTTATCCAAGCGGAGTTAGGCGTGGATGACAAGGTCGTCTACAAAAGGGGGACGAACCGGCCTAGCATGCCCATGCAGGGTGGGAACACAGCAGAGACCCATGCTAAGGAGGACTCCACCCAGGAAAAGACTGCGGCCTTGCATGAATGTACTTTGACCCAGATGAGGCTGGATGGCAACAAAGTCACCACCGAGGAGCATGATAGGGTGTACTTCAAGCAGGTCTAGCCTAGGTCATTTTGATGAACCATGATAATAATAATAAAAATAATAATAATAAACGGTGCTTTTAATAAATAGCGCATTTTACAAAAATCCCAAAGTGCGCTGAACAATACAAGACAGTACAGACAAAGATTACTAAGAGTTTCTTTTGAACGAGTGTGTTACGGCTGTTTTGAATGTTCCAAGGGTTGAAGCTTCTTTGATGTGAGAGGGTAGTTTATTCCACAGGGCAGGAGAGCAACGGAAATTGACTGATGACCGTTCGATCTTGTAGATGGGGAGACAGGTGAGCAAGGACTGGGAGCTGGAGCGGAGGTTTCTTCGTGGTTCATATCTATTGATCAGTTCCTGGAGGATGAGAGACCATGAAGACATTTGTAGGTGAGGAGAAGCAGTTTGAAGATTATCCTGAGCTTGATAGAGAGCCCGTGAAGATTACGATGAATAGGGGATATTTGTGTATGAGGATGCGACATCGTCACAAGGATATCCAGCGAAACACGTGTTTAGAACTTGACAGCTTTCAAAACAAGTTTTATATACAGTTAAATTCAGTGTACCTTTACTAAGTCTCAAAATTATTCTTAAAATTCTGGGATATATTTTATCTGTGTAAAATTAGTGCAAATTGTCCGTAAAATTTCTTGTGAATATTTAATGAGCAAGGTTTGATTCAGATTTTTTGTTATCTTTCCTCTGTGAAATCTTGTGATTACAGTGTATTTAATGAGCTCAATTTTAGTGTTCTTGAACATGTACTTTTACAAGTCAGATCCCCTTATACTGTGAACTAGACTTTGTGAATATTTAATGAGCTTTGAAGTCAGCCCCCCCCCTTAAGTTTTACACAAATAGACTGGCACTGAGGTCACTAAGTGCACGTCTATGCGCCCCGAGTGACTGTGAGTGACCAGAAGAGGGTCCTATTTCCCGTTACCGAATTATGCCAGTCCATATGTGTTTTACATGTATAACTCACCACTGTCCAAAATAAAAAGAAATAAGAAAACAAACTTTTCAGAGTTTTATTATTCAACTGTTTTAATTCAACAATTAGCTAATGAGCAAATCAACTATGAGCAATTCAACAATTAAAGGAATGGTTTTAGTTTCCCTAGATTCAGTTGTTGAGTTTGAGTTTTTTAGAGGGCACTGTAACCAGTCAAAAATTTTGAGTATAGTGCCTGATCAGGCTTTGCGAAGGCAGCAAAGACCTTTGGCCTCGCAATCAGTCTGAAGAAGACGGAAGTGCTGTACCAGCCTCCACCTGGTGAACTCTACAGCACCCCGCACATCACCATCGACAGTACCAAGCTCAACGCAGTGGAGCACTTCACCTACCTAGGCAGTGTCATGTCAAATGATGCCACAACCAATAAAGACCTGGACAACCGCCTATCTAAAGCCAGCGGCTCCTTTGGGCGCCTTGCTAAGAGAGTGTGGCAAGACCACACTTTGGGCCTCTCCACGAAGCTGAAGGTGTACAGAGCAGTTGTGGTCCCTACCCTCTTACATGGAGCAGAGACATGGGTCCTGTACAGAAAACAGGTGCGGCTGCTCGAGCGCTTCCACCAACGCTGCTTGCGTACCATCCTCAACATCAAGTGGCAGGACTATATTTCCAACAAGGAGGTGCTAAAGAAAGCACATCTGCCGAGCATCGAAGCCATGGTACTGAAGCACCAGCTGCGATGGGTATGCCATGTCGCAAGGATGGAGAGCTCACGTCTTCCAAAGGCTGTCTTTTTTGGCGTACTTCGCGAAGGAAAGCGAAATCGAGGGGCCCCAAAAAAGTGCTACAAGGACCAACTCAAGAAGCAGCTTTCACTAGCTGGCATTCATCACCAATCGTAGCACCAGGAAGCAACGAACAGAATAGGTTGGCGCCACAGCATCATCACAGGCAGCCAGAAATTTGAAGATGACCGTCGAGCAGCTGCTGAGGACAAGAGGAAGAGACGAAAGGAGCGGACTTCCTCTCAGACATCTTCAGCCCAGGGCTTCCCTTTTCCCAAAGGCGGAAAGGTCTGTGCTGCACGGATCGGACTCTACAGCCACCTCCGAGCCTGCAAAAGATAGACAGACCATCCTCCCCGATCCTCGCAAGCAAGGAACAAACCATCATCATCATCGTCAGATACACCCTCTTGGTTAAATGAGCTGTGGAAAGGGAGCAGAGAGGAAGTAGGCAGATTACTTGTGCTCTGCATTTGTGAAGAGCTTATGTGCGATATGTACCGTAATTTTCGGAATATAAGCCGCGCGGCGTATAAGCCGCAGCACGCAAAAATCTGCAAATTAAGATTTGAAGTCGGCGTATAAGCCGCACCGGCGTATAAGCCGCACCTACCGCTGCGGTTTCAATTTTGTAAGGCCTCCAAATTCTAGTCAAAATGCTCTGAACCAGTTCCATTCACCCTACAGAAGCTATTAAAAGGACCACAAAAGTTATATCAAATCATTTACAATTGATACTTTTACAAACAAATATGGGAATTGATGAGAAATAAACACCAGGAACTGCTGCCGGCTGCCCCGTCATAGCCCGGCAGCCTGCGCCACGCACGCCGGTGACGTGAATGACAACATTTTCCCACAGCACGTGAGAGAGTATGAAACCCACCGTGTGTTGTCTGACTGGAGCGCTACAGATCTTGCTTTGTGGCAACAGATGCTGATTTGTTTTGTCCTAAGAATAAACAGGTCCGTTTTTACCTCAAAACTTATCAAATTGTTGCGATTAGTTGCGAGAAAAATTCAAGTTTCGATCGTAACTTTCTTTGGAAATAGTCAAAACGAAGCGGACATTTTAATAGACGATTCCATTAATTTTGTAAGGGGTGATTTAGTCTCTCTTTTGAGTTTTACATCGTTTCTTGAATACATTTCAAGAAAACAAAATATATTGTGACGTTGAACAACTGATTATGTAATAAAAAATGTTTCCAACGCCATAAAATTTGTAGTGGTCTTTTTTCTTTTTTTTTAAACAGCGAAAATATTGGTAATTATTGTTCCCAAGAAAGAACACCCCTTTGTTACCACAAATGGTGTGGTCCGCTGTTGGGAAAGCATGCCTGCATATCGCTGCTGCACTGTACCAGTATCACGTACGGCTGGTGGCAAGTGTCGAAGACAGCTTTCATCACCGTACTTTTTTACCGCTCGGTACCTTTACGTGAGACGTGGTTTTGGTTTGTTAATGACTTTCTTAATTTATAATTCATTTCAGCAACATATCTCTTCTTATACCAGTACATTAAATACACATGTGAATTTCATTTTTATTCTATAAGGCTCGGCGTATAAGCCGCCCTGTGTATAAGCCGCAGTAAACATTTTCATGGGCAAAATCAACGTATAAGCCGCGGCTTATATTCCGAAAATTACGGTACAAAGTCGTATGAACTGTGCTGAGGTTATACTGGCATGTGTACCGTAGCTGATGTGCTGCAAGTATAAGGCTGTCATAGCTGTATGTTTCTAATACTGGCTTGCATGGTTGATGAGTAGCAAGTACAAAGCTGTACTACTGTACATTGCTTGATGCTGTTGTACATTGCTGATGTTTGTTGTACATTGCTTATGCTGTTGTACATTGCTGATGCTTTGTTGATGCTGCTATGTATTGCTGCTGCGAGCAGTAGGTTTGGGTCATCTCCCCATTAAAAAAAGACGCAGATAATAAAACACCTTTCCCACAATGTTTAATGTGTAATTAACATAGAGTAAATAATAACAATCATTTACAATCAAAATAGACCTGCACCCTTAGCCTTGAGGTCGCTCTGATTGGTCCCTTGTCTAGGGAAAAGCCTAGGTTTGGGACGATTGTCTTCACCCTTATAGGTGTCAAACTTGTCCGAAAAAAATAGAATAGGTTGGATAACTAGTTAAGCAGAACTATTTTTTCGGCCTTTATGTACATGATTCGTGTGTGATATTCATCTCTCAAAGATTCTGCCAGCTGGAGACCAGACTGAGATTGGAGAGAATGGAGTGACGCTAAGCGGGGGACAGAAGGCGAGGGTTGCCCTGGCCAGGGCTGTTTATCAGGTCAGTGTGCATGAACAGAAGATGGCAAATTGTATCCACTCAGTTGGCAAGATATATTGCTTGTGTGCTGTTAATGTTATGCACGTGTACAGCCACACATGTTTACGTTACATATCTAGTGTGGACATTCCTTTGATTTCGTGTAGTTAAAAAAAACCTGTGAACAAAACTTGTTTGAAGCCACACATGTTTACGTTACATATCTAGTGTGGACATTCCTTTGATTTCGTGTAGTTAAAAAAAACCTGTGAACAAAACTTGTTTGACTCAAAGTGTGAAAACTCTTTCAACCCAGTTTGTTGAGTGTTTCTCTTCATTTTGCCAGAGATCAACCTACATGTAACCCAAAAATGCCTCTAAACCTGTTTTCCAGAGAGGGGGAAACGTGTGGACATGGGCAAGTCCACGCAACGTATCTGAAACCTGGTTTATGTGGACATCTTTTGTTCAAAAGTCCACACAGTGAATGTAGTGCTTGTACTGTAGTACACATTAGGAATGTTCCTCTGAATGTGCAATATTGCTCACAATCTTTGATATTCAGCTTTCTTTCATATCTCTCTGTTTGTCACCACTGAGGAGTACTTTTGCTTTGAGTTTGCAAAAGTAGGAATTTGCCTCTTGCCAATTTTCCTTCTCAGGCCTGCAAAATCACAGTAGCAATTGTGCAATAAATAGACTTCTGTACCACTAGTGAATGCACTTTAGTTCAACTTTAAGCATTGCTCATTTGTCCAGGTTTCAAACATTGCTCATTTGCCCACTGAACCTAACTACAGCCACCACAGTATCGGTTGCATTGTTTTATCAGAGTATCGGTCTTGTTCTATCTCTTAGTCAGTAATGCAGTTTGGACCAATCCGAGTGCATAAAATCACTGTACTCTTAGAAATATCCTAGTACTCATGTGCAAGCATTGTGCAAGCTATTGTGGAGGAAAACCATCATCGAGCAGGTGTTTTTTTCTTTTTAAACCCAAACTCCCTAGGCCTTTATGCTAGGATGTAGCCTCAATCCTGCAAAATCCTCCAATGAGCATGGAAAATAGCATATAACCTAAATCCTGCAAATTCCTCCATTATTTCTTGTATATAATCCATGGAGGGGTGACCACTGCCTGAATCCTGCAAAATCCTGCGGCAGTGACTGTCAATATGTTGAGGCTTGGCCAGTGGCATCCTGGAGCAATGGAGGATTTCAAGCATAATCTAGGCCTATATTTATGCATGGCTGAGCAAAAACAACACAAGGTCCGGCCCAAGACCTTGACAAAGTGCATCCTACGAAATCAGTAATGCAAAGTTTGCCATGTAACCTCAATCCTCAAAATTCCTCCACTTTGGCAAAGAGGATATTGAAGGATTCAGGGCGGTTAGGGTTAATAGCTGGCATAATGCTCCTGCCATGACAAGGACATGTACACAAATGTACCAAGATCAAACACTTGGATTCAACCGAGTCAAGTATAAACTTTTGGAATCATTTGGAAGGATACCAAGAGAATATGCAAAGGAATAGCCTAACACTAATCATTTTAGCTTTACAAATCTCTCATTTCGTTTGGCAGGATAAAGACCTATATCTGCTGGACGATCCAATGGCTGCGGTCGATGTACACGTAGGGGCGCACATCTTTTCCCAGTGCATCATGGGACTGCTGAGAAACAAGACCAGAATCCTTTGCACCCACCACACCAAGTTCCTTCAGGAGGCCGACCTGGTTGTAGTGATGGAAGGCGGAGAAATTACCAATGTTGGCAAGTGTAAATTGATACTAAATTTGATGTAAACGCTTTGGCAGGAATTGTGTTGCTTTTCAGTGGTTTAACCCTAACCCCTTGGGTATATTTACTAGAAAGTATCCTGAATCTGCCAAAATCCATCAGAATCCACCAGTTAGGCGGGAGTAAATCTGTTGAGATCCTGAATCCATCATAGTCCTGCAGTACCGCAAGGTTTCATGTCCTGAATCCATCAAGATCCCCCAACTTTTTCAATGTGGAGGTATCCTGAATCCGCCAAAATCCCCCGAAACAGGGGTGTGGATTTTGATGGATTCAGGTACGTTAGGGTTAAAAAGAAAATTACATGCATTTTGTTGCAAGTCTACTAACATGTACATGTATACAAATACCATGTACTATTTCAGTAGCATTTTGTATACTATACAGAGTCCATCATTCCAACTATATCTGTAAAAAGTCATTGTAAATGTTTCATCCCCATAACTACTAGAGGCTTACTTCAAAACTACATCTGTCCTATTTGTATTGTGTGACTTCAATGTTTGAATCAGATGGTGTATTATTGGATTGCCTAACCATGAAAAAGAATATTTTTTTCAGTTACATGAAGAGTTTGTATCATATCCTCAAAGGAAACAAAATTTAAAACAGGAAATTTTCACTGGCATTTTTTTTAATGAAAACTCTCCTTAAAATCAGTTCTTATCAACTTGGATTTTAATAATGAAATGCAATTCTTAATTCCTTAAATGTACCGTTGAGGAGACATTTTTTCATCATTAGTTATTCCTTAGGGATCAGTTAACAGATCAGTTAGGGAGACATTTTCAATGTCTTCCTAATTTCACAATGCCTATTTACCGCAAAGTTTCACCGTCTGCACTAGATCGATTGGTAAAGGGGTCATTAAAGTTTGAAAAATTTTGTGCACAACTCTATGTGGGAATGTAAATGAAAATGTAAATTTAAGTAGTGCTCACCAGTTATTGCTTTGCCAAATTAATAACTGGTGAGCACTACTTAAATTTACATTTTCATTTACTTCTTCATAAGTGCTACGCAGCACCCCATTTTGTTATCTATGTGAAAATGTCTCCCAACAATTTCCCGTAATTACAATATCAATTATCATAATTCTGTCATAAGAGAAATTGCCAATGAATATCCTCAACTGTCTTAATGACAGGACATCCCTCGCTGATTCTGAAGAACAAAGATCTGCTGACCACGTTGCAGTACGACGACCCAGAGGACTCCAACAAAGATGGCACACAAAACCCAGAAGAGTGGGAAGAGAAAAAGAATGAAGAGGAGGATGGCAAGCTGGTCGAAGAGGAGGAGCAAGACGTGGGCGTGGTCAAGCTGAAGGTTTATAAGGCGTACTGGAATGCCGTGGGTTGCGTCCTGGCGTCCAGTGTCCTGATTGCCATGTTCCTGATGCAAGGTGAGTCAGTGAGATGTCTGCCACTTTATTGCTGTACCGACAATACAGTAATAATTTAATATAAATTGTATGCCATGCACAGTTGAGTGATATTATTGTATCTCATATGGACTTGTGTTGGATAATATCCATGAAAAACTACAACGTGATAAAAATTACAACGTGACAAACAGTGTTGTGATGGCTACAATGTATGTTCCTACTGCAAGGTGAGTTGCTGAGGTGTTGCCACTGTGTGTGGTGTGTTGCGTTACAACCAGAGGTACCATGTACATTACTCATGATTTGACTACAAACATTCTAAGCTTGTATTGGATGATATCCATGAAAATCACAAAGTGACATTCAGTGTTGTGAAGGCTATACAGGGTGTCTCAAAAAAAAGTATACACTTAGAGAAATGTATCAAAAACGGATGTTTTATAATTTTCCAAAAATCTGTCACTAATGATTGATGGACCAAGGTCTTATGCTTTAATTGCCACCATTTCAATCCTCAGCTGTTCCGCATGAGTGAATACTAGCTATTCACTTTCATCAGATTTGAATTGGCTTGCGCACAAAAGTGCAAGGGTTAAACCAGAATCAAACAACGTGGAAGGGAAGTTTAGGCATGTGATTTGTTGCGCACAAACTTTCAAGGAAATTGGATTAACCCCAAGACCTCCATAAGCCCACCAAGTTTGAACTCAGGATGCGCCTTCCTCAAAACAAGTCAATAATTAGGTCTAATGGTAATCGTCACAAGGGAATGCAACGTTTGCACTTCAAGCATTCAGTCTTCGACGTGGCCTCCATTTCTTTGCACACAGACTTCTGCCCTCCTCAGCATGTCATAAACAGCACGACTAATCATTGCGGCATCCTGCCTCACAACAGCAACCTCGGCAGTAACACGTTCTTGCAGGTCATCCAGGTCTCTTGGTGGAGTGGTGTACACCTTAGACTTAAGATGGCCCCACAAGAAAAAGTCCAGTGGGGTAAGATCGGGCGATCTTGGTGGCCACTCGACGGGCCGGTTCAACGCGATGACGCGATTGCCAACAGTTCAGTCACGATCCTTCTCCTGTGCGGTGGTGCCCCATCTTGCGCCCACCAGACATGCCTAAACTGCCCATTTCTTCTTCCAGGACGATAACTATGAAAATCATTGACGGCTGGTACGACATTTTCATTAATCATGTGCAGGTATTCATCACCATTGATGTAATTCCTGAAGAAAGGGCCAATGATTGACCCATTTCAAAGCGTTCAAGGAAAATCCGGCCTCGTCACCGATGATTAAATCATCAAGGAACCGTGACATAACAGATGTTACATAACAGAGTGTCATGCTATGGCATAAAACTGAGGGTCCACCTTGTGTAGCTGCACCCAACTACCAAAGCAAAATGTAGGCGGACACGATCTGTACTGATGTCTCTGTCATGTCTGTCTTTAATGTTGACAATGAACTGTCTCCAAAGATGAACACCGTGAGATCTGACAAGCAAATAACAATGATAATCATAAGTATAGATCTCAACAATTTGAAGGTTAATGTGGTAAATTTAGTCTTCACAAGGAATTATTCAATGAGACTCATATGACCTACAGAAATGACAATGGACATCTACATTACTATACTATAACATGCATGCATAAAAGACACAATTACTTTGACTTAATAAACCATTATTTTCTAACTTAATCCTACATTTAAGAGAGTAAAACTGATCCAATATTACTAAGTAGGATATTTACCTCGTGGGCCTGTAGTGGGTGTGCTTAATAATCTTAGGATGGTTGCAGAAAAAGGCGGATTAAATCATCCTCAGCGCAGCAAACTGCTGAGCACATTGTTGGAGAATCAGGCCATGTGCAAGAAGCAATGCATTATGGGAAAAGTAAAAGTTGCACAATTTTCCTCAAAGTTACTATAGTCTACAACAAAAACTAAATTACAATCAAACTAAAGTATCACAATATCACAAAAGACCTCTCACTTAATGTTTGGACTATTTTACATGTAGAAAACTTTGATCACATGACCAAACAAACATGGCTGCCTCCTTAAGAATGCACATGTACTGAACAATAACAAAGATGGCTGTCCACATAAACAACCCAGTGTGTGCAGCAAGTACCTAGGCCAGTTCACCAAACACATACAATGTCTTATCTACATGCACAATGGAATGAAACTTCCTTCAACAGCATATTGTGGCTAGCATAATTCTAGGCCCTATAAACAAGTACATGTAAATGTAAGTAATTAGAGGGAAAAAGTGTCAATAAAAATGGAAACTTTGTCAGATTCTGTTACACTCCCACCAAATTACCACTGATCTATGTAACAACATGGCAAGATACTACAACTACACAAATTAGCAATTAGAAACAACAATTGTAGTATATCATGGTAATTTCAAAACTACTTTCGACTACAAACTAACAGAACAGTTTTGGTTAACATACAAAGTCCTTATATTAAACTGTCAAGATGAAGATATGAATATATCGCCAGAAGGGTAATCCATCTACTTCGTCTCAAGAAGGAGAATTAGCTTCTGGATTGGTCGCTCAAGAATGGACGGTTTGCCTGTTCGTCTCCCTTCTTTGTCCAGATGCTTAGTGCCAACCCTTACTCTGGCTCTCCTGACAAGGCCGTCATCATTTTCTATGGTTTCGATCACAATAGCCAATGGCCATTCCATTCGAGGGGCCTCTTCGTCTTTCAGCAGCACCACATCTCCCACCTTGATGTTTCGTCTTGGTGTGTGCCACTTTTGACGTGAAGTGAGAGAAGAGAGGTATTCCTTCCTCCATCTTCCCCAAAACTGTTCAGCCAGATACTGAACCCTCCTCCAGCGTTTCCTGATGTACAGGTCTTCCTTCACGAATTTTCCAGGAGGTGGTAAGGCTGCTGTAGACTTCATGGTGAGAAGGTGATTAGGTGTAAGTGGTTCAGGGCTGAGTGGATCGTGAAGATTAACTGTTGTGAGTGGACGACTGTTCACAATAGCCATGGCTTCGTAGAGAAATGTACGCAAGGTTGCAGCGTCAAGTCTACCTGGAGACTGCTGGATTATGGATGAGAGAACGCTTCTGACCGTCTTGATTTGACGCTCCCACACGCCACCAACATGACTTGAGTGTGGAGCGTTCATGACAAATTGACATTGCCCCTTTGCCAAGAAGCCTTGAACTCTCTCCATATCCAGTTCCTTCAATGCCTCTCGAAATTCGTTCTTAGCTCCGACAAAATTGGATCCCTGGTCAGAACGCAACTGCTGTACAGGACCTCTCAAGGCAATGAAGCATCGAAGTGAATTGATGAAGCAATCGGTGGTCATGTCGTCCACCATTTCAATGTGTACAGCACGTGAGGACATGCATGTGAATATGACTCCATACTTCTTGATCTCCTTCCTGCCTTCCCTGACGGTGAATGGTCCGAAGCAGTCCATGCCACAAAATGTAAACGGTGGGGAAGGCTCTACTCTATCCTTTGGAAGGTCGGCCATCTTCTGTTCTTCCACTGGGCGCCGCAGACGACGACAAGTTGCGCACTTGTGGATGTGAGTGGCAACTACCTTCACTCCTCCGATTATCCAGTATCCACCAGCTCTTACTTCATTGAAGGTCATTCCTCTTCCCTGGTGTTGGACTTTGTTGTGGAAGTACGAGATGAGCAACCTCGTTACTTGCCCATCTTTTGGAAGAATGGCTGGATGTTTGACGCTGTCTGGAACTTCTGCATTTCTCAGACGTCCACCGACTCTTAGAATTCCGTCACTGTCCAGGAATGGATTCAGGCTGCAGATTTTACTAGTTGCCTTCACTCTGCTTGAGTTCCTCAATGACTGAATTTCCTGTGGGAAGGCTTGCCTCTGTACTGATCGTACGATGTGCATTTCTGCCTCTGTTTGTTCTTGCGGGGTAGAGAGGCTGTTATCCTTTTCTTTCCGATTCAGTCGTCTTATGCGTGCCACAGCTCCCAATACCTTTGACCAATCTGAGAAGCGAGACAGGCGATCCTCCCAGTCAAATACCTCTGGTGTAACAGCACTTTGCAGGGACGTCACACTCTTTACTTCTGGATCACCGACGCTTAATTCACGGACTGGCTCTTCTGCAATCACCATCTCTTTGTTCCACAGGAATTCTGGGCCTCTGAACCAGTTTGAGGCCACCAACTCTTTGGCAAGGACTCCTCTTGAGGCATGATCAGCAGGGTTCACTTCCGTCGGCACGTAGTGCCACTGACTGGGCTCTGAGTACTGCCTGATTTTCTGGACCCTGTTGGCCACAAATACATGGAACCGTCTTGCCTCATTACATATATATCCAAGGACGACTTGAGAGTCTGTCCAGAAGTATTCCCTGTCGATGACTAGCTCTAATTCCTCCTTTAGCATGTGGCTTATCTGTACCGACACTACTGCGGCTGTCAACTCGAGGCGGGGAATGGTGACAACTTTGATCGGAGCAACTCTGGCCTTTCCTGACACCAGTGTGCAATGCACCTTATCTTCTCCGATGAATCGCAAATATGAACACTGGCCATATCCTCTTGTACTGGCGTCACAGAAATGATGGAGCTCCACCGCGATGACCTTCCCAAAGTCACTTGGCTTGTAGCACCTGGGTATCTGGATTTGCTTCAGATTTAGAAGGTCATCCTTCCACTTCTCCCACCGTGGGTGCAGCTTATCAGGAAGTGGATCATCCCAATCCGATCCGCTGTGGCACATTTCTTGGAGAATTCCCTTGCCAATGAGTACAAATGGGGCAAGGAACCCAAGAGGGTCATATATGGAGGCAACCGTGGACAGGATTCCCCGACGTGTTAGTGACTGATCCTTAGCTTCGATGTGGAAGTTGAACATGTCTGCCTCTACACACCATTGAATGCCGAGAGCCCTCTCTGTGGGGAGATCATCTCGGCTAAGATCCACATCCTTTACTCCAGCGGCACGTTCATCCACTGGAATGGCCTCCATGACTTCTCTACTGGT